CCCCCCTGCCGCCGTTTAATTTAATTTGAGTGACTTATGAAGGGGGTTCAGCCCCCGGTTGAACCCCCGCCAGCGGGCCGTTTTGCTTTTTTTTCTTCATCTTCTTAGAAACATTTTGACTATAATTTTTTTCCGGATTTTTTCTTTTTTTTTTAAACAGCCAGAGAATTCAAAAAATAATAATGAACTCTTTGGTTGCTTAAAAGAAAGAAAAAAATCTCACGAAAAAAATTAAGTCAAAATTTCTCAAAGACGATGAAGAAAAAAAACAAAACTGCCCACCAACGGAGGTTCAACCGGAAGCTGAGCTCCCTCCATAAATCACTCAAATTAAATTAAACGGCGGCAGGAGCCAAGCGGTCGTCAAATGTTTAATTTAAAGAAAGCGAACTTACCCACTAGGCCACGCAAGCACGCCTGAGAAAGAGCAGCAAAATTAACGTAGTTGCTAAGTTGTTTGAGAGTTTCTCCTTCTGTGTTTAAGTAGCTGTTCCTGTCTCTTTCTCATGCTCAGTGTGAATAAATCCTCTGTCGTGGTTACATCTCTTGTTCATTAAAACAGAATTATATAACCTAATCTTCCCTACCTCTGCCTTGGGATGTTCATTCCCCTATTTCCTCTTTGTGACTTGCGCCGTCGGAGTGAAGTTTCTTGGTTTCTTTTCCTTGATTTCGTTCCCATGGCTTCCCAGGCTCAGTTTTCAGGTCAAATCGTCCTCATTGCTTATCTTTCTGCAAGGAGATCGTCATTAGGTTGGATTATCAACCAAACTATCGAAGTGAAGGTTTCGCAACTAAAATGCTACGTAAATAAAGTTAAATTAATGTCCTCTCTTGGTGTCAGGATGTGAAAAGTAAGTGAATGGACATTGTAGAGGATGCCTCACAATGGTATGACTAAGGTTAAGTTAAGTGTCGTATAAATGATTATATCATAATCGCTAACTTGCATTTGTATGATTCTGTAATAGTAAAGTTAAGGACGACAACAACGGAAAGGAAAATCACTTCAATTCAAAAGTATATCGTAACAAGGAATTATACATTATCGCCCAGCATTTTTGGCTCCATTTTGTTCCCGAGGTGCGCCTGATAGAAGACTAATTTTATTGGCCTGTGTCATCTTTAACAAATCGCGATATTTCCCGTTTGCCATCCCATAGTCCCGTGAGTGAGTGTGGAGACTACGGGAAAATTTTCTGGCAGTGAATGCTGTATACTGACGCTCATATCTAATGACGGTGAATCATGTGTAGTAACGATGAATGCAGCCTGGTGACACCAAATAATGTCTAGTGCCTAACCCTTTGAGTGATGTCTAGCGATGATAAATAATGTTTAAAGAAGATGAATGATGTGTAGTGATGGCCAATGATCTAGTGACCCTAAAGGATGTCTAATGCCGCTCGATGATGTGTCGTGACAGTGAATGATGTATGGTGACGTTGAATGATGTCTACGACTAGGAGATGGTGAATAACGTTTAATGACAACGAGTGATGTCTACTGATGGTTACTCATATCTCGCAACGGTAAATGATGTCTAGTCACAGGCAATAATGTCTACTTATGGTCAAATTATTGTGACGACAAATGATGGGCAGTGATGGAGAATGATGTCTTATGACGAAGAACGATATCTAATGATGATGAAATTTGTCGGTGAAGGCAAATGATGTGTAGTGATGGAGAATAATGTCCAATCTCTAGGGACGCTGAAAAATAACCATGCGTGTCACTGAATGATGTCTAGTAAAGGTGAATGATGTTTCATGACAGCGAATAATGTGTAGTCACAGTCAATGATGTCCAGTGACGGTGAATTATCTCTTGTGACGCTGACTGATGTGTAGTGATGGCCAATGATCTAGTGACCGTGAAGGATGTCTAATGCCGCTCGATGATGTGTCTGACAGTGAACGATGTCTAGTGACGTTGAATGATGTGTAGGAAGATGGTGAATAATGTTTAATGACAACGAATGATGTCTGCTGATGGTTACTCATATCTAGAAATGGTAAATAATGTCTAGTCACAGGCAATAATGTCTACTTATGGTCAAAGTATTGTGACGACAAGTAATGGACAGTGATGGAGGATGATGTCTAATGACGGAGAACGATATCTAATGATGGTGAAATTTGTTGCTGACGGCAAATGATATATAGTGATGGAGAATAATCTCCACTGTCTAGGGATGCTAAATAATAACCATGCGTGCCACTGAATGATGTCTAGTAAAGGTGAATGATGTTTCATGTCGTCGAATAATATGTAGTCATGGTCAATGATGTCCAGTGACAGTGAATCATCTCTTGTGATGCTGACTGATGTCTAAAGACGCGGAATGATGTCTAGTGACCCTCACAAGCCTCGAAGATGTGTAGTGATGGTGAATGAACAATAATGACACTGAATGATTTCTACTGACGCTAAATAATGTCTAGTGACCCTAGTGACAAAAATGATGTCTAGCAATGGTGTATGATGCCTAGTGAAGGTGAATGATGTCTACTGATGGTAACATATCTCCTGTGATAGTAGGCGATATCTATTACCGGTAAATAAAATCTTGCAGTGGTGAATGATATCTTATGACAGGAAAAGGTGTCTAGTAATGTTGAGTAATGTTTACTGAAGTGAATCATGTCTGGTGATGGGATATGATGTTTAGTGAAGGAACATGACCTCTAATGACGACGAAGGATGTCTACTGACAGTGAACGGTGTCCAATGATAGTAATTGATGTCTATTGATGGCAAATGATGGCAACTGACCGGGAGTGATGTCTAGTGACGGTGAATGATGCCCAGCGTTGGTAAATGATGTCTACTGATAGTGACTGAAATCTACTGATAAGGAATGATGTCTAGTGACAGTAAATGATGTCTACTGATGGCGCATGATGTCTACTTATGGTGAATGATGTCCAATAATGGTGAATGATATTTACTGATAATGAATGATGTCTACTGGCGCGGTATCTCTTCTGATGGCGAATGATGTCTACAGATGGTAAAATGATATCTACTGATGGTGAACAATGTCTAGTGATTGTGGATGATGTCTCGGATAGTGAGTGATATCAAGTGACGGTAAATGATGTCTACTGATGGGGAATGATGTCTACTGACGGCGAATGATGTCTAGTAATGGCGAATGATGTCTAGTGATGGTGAATGATGTCTCCAGATGGTGAATACTGTCTCGTGATTGTGAATGACGTCTACTGATGGTGAATGATGTTTAGTGATTGTGAATGGTGTCTACAGATAGTGAATTATGTTTACTGATGGTGAATGATGTTCACTGACAGTGAATAATGTCTATGATGGTGAATAATGTCTACTGATGGTGAACGATGTCTACTGATGGTGAATGATGTGTACTGACGGTGAATGATGTCTATTGATGTCTATCTATGTCTACTTACGGTCAATAATGTCTACTGATGGTTAATAATGTCTACTGCCGGTGAATGATGTCTATTGACGGTAAACGATGTCTACCGATGGTGACTAATGCCTAATGATTGTGGATGATGTCTCAGATAGTGAGTGATGTCAAGTGACAGTAAATGATGTCTACTGACAGTGAATGATGTCTACTGACGTTGAATGATGTCTACTGGTGGTGAATAATGTCTAGTGATGGTAATTGATGTCTAGTGATGGTGATTGATGTCTCCAGATGGTAAATAACGTCTAGTGATTGTGAATTATTTCTACTGATGGTGAATGATGTCTACTGATGGTAAATGATGTCTAGTGATTGTGAATGATGTCCACAGATGGTGAATGATATCTACTGACGGTTAATGATGTTTACTGATGGTGAATAATGTGTACTGATGGTGAACGATGTCTATATTAATGTCAACTGACTGGCAATGATGTCTAATGATGGTGAAGGACGCCCTGCAATGGTAAATGATGTCTACTGATAGTGACTGAAATCTACTGATAAGGAATGAAGTCAAGTGACAGCAAATGATGTCTACTTATGGTGAATGATGTCTAATGACGGTGAATGATATTTACTGATAATGAATGATGTCTACTGGCATGGTATGTCCTCTGATGGTGACTGATGTCTGCAGATGGTAAAATGATATCATTGATGGTGAATAATGTCTAGTGATTGTGGACGATGTCTCAAATAGTGAGTGATGTCCAGTGACAGTGAGTGATGTCCAGTGACAGTGAATGATGTCTACAGACGGTGAAGGATGTCTACTGATGGTGAAAAATGTCTACTGATGGTAAATGATGTCTATGGACGGTGAATGATGTCCACTGATGGTGAATGATGTTTATTGACAGTGAATGATGTCTACTGATGGTGAATAATGTTTAGTGATTGTTGATGATGTCTACTGATGGTGAATGATGTGTACTGTTGGTGAAAGATGTCTACTGATGGTGACTGATGTCAGCTGATGGTGAATAATGTCTAGTGATTCTGGATGATGTCTACTGATGGTGAATGATGTCAGCTGATGGTGAATAATGTCTAGTGATTGTGGATGATGTCTACTGATGGTGAATGATGTGTACTGTTGGTGAAAGATGTCTACCGACAGTTACTGATGTCTACTGATGGTGAATAATGTTTAGTGATTGTGGATGATGTCTACTGATGGTGAATGATGTGTACTGTTGGTGAAAGATGTCTACCGACGGTGACTGATGTCAGCTGATGGTGAATGATGTGTACTGTTGGTGAAAGTTTTCTACTGACGGTGACTGATGTCAGCTGATAGTGAATAGTGATAGCTGATAGTGATTGTGGATGATGTCCACTGATGGTGAATGATGTCTAGTGACGGTGAATGATGTTTAATGATGGTGAATAAATGTCTACTGATGCTGAATGATGTGTACGGATGGTGGATGGTGTCTACTGACAGTAAATGATGTCTATTGACAGTGAATGATGTCTACTGATGGTGAATGATGTCTAGTGATGGTGAATGATGTCTTTAGATGGTGAATAACGTCTAGTGGTTGTGAATTATGTCTACTGATGGTGAATGATGTTTAGTGATGGTGAATGATGTCTCCAGATGGTGAATGATGTCTACTGATGGTAAATGATGTCTAGTGATTGTGAATGATGTCTACAGATGGTGAATGATATCTACTGACGGTTAATGATGTTTACTGATGGTGAACAATGTCTACTGATAGTCGATGTCTATATTGATGTCAACTGACTGGGAATGATGTCTAATGATGGTGAAGGACGCCCTGCAATGGTAAATGATGTCTACTGATAGTGACTGAAATTTACTGATAAGGAATGAAGTCTAGGGACAGCAAAAATTAATGATGTCTACTGATGGCAAATGATGTCTACTTATGGTGAATGATGTCTAATGACGGTGAATGATATTTACTGATAATGAATGATGTCTGCTGGCATGGTATGTCTTCTGATGGCTACTGATGTCTGCAGATGGTAAAATGATCTCGTTGATGATGAATAATGTTTAGTGATTGTGGATGATGTCTCAAATAGTGAGTGATGTCAAGTGACAGTGAATGACGTCTACTGACAGTGAATGATGTCTACTGATGGTGAATAATGTCTACTGTTGGTGAATGATGTCTACTGATGGTGAATGATGTCTATTGACAGTGAATGATGTCTACTAATGGTGAATAACGTCTGGTGATTGTGAATGATGTCTACTGATGGTGAATGATGTCTAGTGATGGTGAATGATGTCTACTGGTGTTGAAAAATGTCTACTGATGGTGATTGATGTCTATTGACGGTAAACGATGTCTACCGATGGTGAATAATGTCTAGTGATTGTGGATGATGTCTCAGGTAAATAGAACAGTTCATGAGTCAAAAACCCAATTGATTAGGTAATTAAATTATAGTATAATTATTATTGACATGGTATATGCTGTATAATTTTATCGTTTCCGTTCATATTTCTTTCTTTTTAAATTTGTGTAGTTGAAAAAACCTTTATTGTAACTAGACCGATGCCTCTCTTTGGAGAGTAAGGCGCAATAAAGATATACTATACTATACTAGATAGTGAGTGATGTCAAGTGACAGTGAATGATGTCTACTGACAGTGAATGATGTCTACTGACAGTGAATGATGTCTACTGATGGTGAATGATGTCTACTGATGGTGAATGATGTCTAGTGATGGTGAATGATGTCTTTAGATGGTGAATAATGTCAAGTGGTTGTGAATTATGTCTAGTGATGGTGAATGATGTCTCCAGATGGTGAATGATGTCTCCAGACGGTGAATGATGTCTACTGATGGTAAATGATGTCTAGTGATTGTGAATGATGTCTACAGATGGTGAATGATATCTACTGACGGTTAATGTTTACTGATGGTGAATAATGTCTACTGATGGTGAAGAATGAAGTCTAGTGACAGCAAATGATGTCTACTTCTGGTGAATGATGTCTAATGACGGTGAATGATATTTACTGATAATGAATGATGTCAACTGGCATGGTATGTCTTCTGATGGCGACTGATGTCTGCAGATGGTAAAATGATATCATTGATGGTGAATAATGTCTAGTGATTCTGGATGATGTCTCAAATAGTGAGTGATTTCAAGTGACAGAGAATGATGTCTACTGACGGTGAATGATGTCTACTGATGGTGAATAATGTCTACTGACAGTGAATGATGTCTACTGATGGTGAATGATGTCTACTGATGGTGAATGATGTCTACTGATGGTGAATGATGTCTATTGACAATGAAATGATGTCTACTGATGGTGAATAATGTTTAGTGATTGTGGATGATGTGTACTGATGGTGAATGATGTGTACTGATGGTGAAAGATGTCTACTGACGGTGACTGATTTCAGCTGATGGTGAATAATGTCTAGTGATTGTGGATGATGTCTACTGATGGTGAATGATGTCTAGTGATGGTGAATGATGTCTAGTGATGGTGAATGATGTTTAATGATGGTGAATAAATGTCTACTGATGCTGAATGATGTGTACTGATAGTGGATGGTGTCTATTGACAGTGAATGATGTCTACTGATGGTGAATAACGTCTAGGGATTGTGGATGGTGTCTACTGATGGTGAATGATGTCTAGTGACTGTGAATGATTTCTACAGATGGTAAAATGATGTCTACAGATGCCAAGCCAATTCTTGGAGTATTATGTAAAAAGTTTATTATCAAATCTCTTACCTCATTTTGTCCAACACTACTTTCTCTTCATGTATTCCTTTATTTCCAATGATTTCAAGGGCCTTTGCCTTAAAAAATATTATCCCAGGTTCATATAAGTGAACAGTAAATCGACCGTTAGATAATAATATTATTAGTTACTTACTTGGCTTTACGCACAATGCAATCAATTTTTACCAAGCTTCTGGTTCATCCAGACACACAGAGCACAATTTAGATAATTATGTTTATCTGAGGTTTTTGTTTGTAGTACGGATTTGCAAATGCCATATGCAAAAAT